GGGCCCTGTAACTCTCTCAAGAGTGCCGCAGAGCAAAGGGAGGGCTCAGGGCCTGCCAGCTGCCCCACCCTGGCTGTCCAGTGACCATGCCCCTCACGCTGGCCTGGTCTCTCAGCAGGTGCAGCAGGGCTTTCGCAGCTGCTTCTCCTGAGACACACGGGGCAGGGCTGGCGGCCACCAGACCCGGCCTCTTTTGTGCCAAAAGAAGCTACTAGTACAGACACCTTAAACTATCCCAGCCTCAACAAATGCCAATTCTGAAAAGATTTAAGACTCTTGACTCCTTAATTCAGCAGACATTTCATGGCAACCTCAATGGAGGTTACTCACCTCATGGTCCCTGCCCTCAGGGAGCTGCAGATCTATCTGGAAAGCCAAGTGACACTCACAGTGTTTACAAAAAAATACAGGTCACAAGCCAGCAGGGGCTGCTGACTGTGACAGCAGGTGACCTGGCTGAGAAGGGGATGTCTGTGGGTAGGGTGCGGGAGGCTTCAGGGCCTTCAGGAAGGCAGACAGATGATTCCAGGCCTGGGCAACAGTGTCACTCACAGCAGGAGAATTAGAAAGCTGTGATCAAGGGCTCAGTCTCACAGCCAGACCCATACCTCCTGAAGGGCAGGGATGGTGTTTGGGGCATGTTTCCCCATGGCACCAGGCAGCACGGGAAATAAGGGCTGAGTGGCTGGAGGAGCACCACAGTCTGGTACTCGTGCAGGGGCTCTGCTCTGCAGCCCCAGTCACCAAACTGGGAGAGGTCTTCCAGACTTCTCTTCCTCTTAACCCTTGACCAGCTGGCAAGTCCTACTAACCTCATGGTTCAAAAACCTCTCAGATCTACTATCTCATCTAACAGTCAAGTCTGAAGGGCAAAAGTCTTGATTTGGACTTGGCCTATGTTCCAAGTCCACCACAGTTCACTCCAGCCCCCCAGACTGTAACCTTAATTTCTCTAAACCATCGCATTCTCCCTTTATTGCCCATGTAGGGCTTTCCCCTGGACTCTTCCCTCAGCCTGCAAACACCCTCCCACCCACCTCTGCAGCAAACCCAGCTCTGCCTGGGATTCCCTGCCAGGAACTCTTTGTTCCTAGTCTTCTCTCCCCATGAGAGAACACTGGGACTCTTCCACTGCATCCTTGGGGCGCTGATCAGTATCCGGCACATGTCCATTGAATACACGAGTCCAGAGTTTGGGGTTAACCTAAGTGGACCTTCTATGCTATTCTTAACCCAAAGGCCCACTACTCACAGCGCCTGGGCCAGAACACAGCCATGGCCAAGATGGACTCTGCTGGTTCCTGCCTTTGTTTATGACTGGACAGGAAAAACACAGTCAACTCCGTGCAGCAGTAATCAGAATGGGGCCAGGAGTGCCCACATTTTCCTACTCTTTTCTCCCTCCAGCCCGTTGTTTCAGGAGAGCTGGGTGTGGAGCCCTGCTCTGCCTGTATTTGGTAACCTTGGGCAAGTCACTTAGAAACTTGAGCTGAAATTGTGCCTGTGCTACTACCTCCTTGGGTTGACAGGTGGGAACAAAGCACATACAAAGGCCACACTCTGTAAAGAAATCGTGTGACCTTTTGTTTCCTTCACTTGTAAAGCTGTTGTTCTTAGTGTTAATTAGAACTGTGACAACCCAGTTCACTTTCTTCCTAAAGTAATAAGGGTTAGAATTCTCCTCAAACCCCTCCCAAGGCAACTCTTACACTCTTCTCTACCTACTTCCACCTGCCTTGGCCTCTTTGTCTTCTTGAAGGAAAAACCCAGATGCCGGAACTAGATCTAAATTCAGATTAATTAATGTTTATTGAACACCCATGTATTGGCACATACAGTTTCTTCTGAACTCTATACCTTCTTACAGTAAGAATGGTTGGTACTGGATCACTCAATGGACCAAGTAGGGGTTCACAACATCCACAAATCAGGAGCACCAAAAAGATGACAAGAAATGTATTCTGGAAAATGATCCAATATTACCAAAAACAAACACAACAAAGCACAACTGCTTTCATGGAAATCATCAGCATGTTGTTGGACCTTTTCACCCTGTAATGCATGGTGTCACATTGTTTTTACTTTGTCTATGGTCAGGGACCCTAATCTTTTCAGTGCTAACAGCAGATCCAGCTTTTCAACCGGACTGGGTGTTGCTCTTCACCTACTACAGACAGAGCAAGCAAGGCTCTGGGAAGGAAACTGCCCTTGTCACACAGCTTCAAAGGGACATAGAGGGGCTTCCAACTTGGTCTGCCAACTCAGAGTCTAGGCAGTCCTGGTCCCAGGATGCCACCATTCTCACCAGAGTGCTGCATGATGACTCACAGAATAGGAGAGGTGGTGACTAGACCCAGCAGGCTAGACCAGCATCTCCCTGAGTGGGCCCTCTGGAGGGAAGGGAGGCTCTGTCCCAGCCCCTGCCCCTCTGCAGCACTATATTGCAATGCAGCCTCTACCACTTCCCCAAGAGACTGTGTCTGGGAGAATCCTAATCAGGCAGAGACAGGAAACAGAAGCCTTTTGTAGAGTCCTAGAGATGGGTACATTTCCATTTTGTGCAATCTATTTCCAAGTCCTTTCGTGGGGGCACAAGGTACTTTCCACTACCACCACCAGCCTGGCTTTCTCCCTCCTCCTCACTAAGAGCCAAGGTCCTCTGCAGCACTGTCCCTGTAGGCTGCCTTCTCACCAGGACATCCTCCACATCCAGGACAGAGACTTAACATAAAATGCCATTACTTTAACTGCCACATTTCCCTGTGTCCTCTATGAGTAAAAACATGCCCCTGCATTGTGAACAGTGTTTCTGCAAGTGAAAAATGACTTTTCACAGAGCCTATCTCCTCTCTCCTTCTCAGATAACTGATCAGGGTGGGGGGCTGGTGTGTGTAGCTAGGGAACAAAGTATCTGGGCCCAAGGGACTCAAAGCCATGGTCTCTAGTTCATCAGCACCATGAGCTCGCCAACTGTGCTCCACAGCCCCATTCTCCTAAAGCTTAGAAAACATGCACCGAACCAGGAGGTTCAAACTGGGCAAGCTTAGCCTTTAAACAGCCAACAGAGCATGCAAGCTGCTGATGGTTTCCATTATTGCCAAAGTGATCTGCTGGAGCAACCTGGCCTTCAGGACACATTGCATTAGCTCCCTCTCAAAACAATTTTGCTCCCTGAAGTATCATTCTACATCACACATTTCATGTTTCTGCTCGTAGGGTGATCCTAGAATCATGGCTGGCTGTTTTTAAATCCTTGTAAGAGCACACATAAAGCTCTTCCCTAGTTCCAGAAACCCATCACATGGAAAAACCTCCAAACTCCTTCAAATTCTCAAGGGTAGGAGATAGATTTCCAAATACCTAGGACTTCTGTTACTTAAAAATCAATAAGAAAAAAAAAAAAATCCAAAAAACGAAAATCACAAACACAACCCAAAAGCAAGAAGAATTCTTAAGACTCTAGTTAATGAAATGTATGTTTAACTTTGGGAGAGGAACTACACTGATGTGTGTAACTCACTTCGAATTGCAAAACAAAAATAGGATGGACTGTTGGGTAGATATGTGATGAAGTACAATAAAATGCTAACTGTACTTTCTAGATGGTGGTCTATGGGTGTTCACGGTAAAATTCCTTAAACTTTTCAGAACGTCTCAAATTCTTCATAATTAAATGGGAAGTGGGGTGTGAAGTCTTGAGACTGGCAAGTGACCAAGAACAACCTTTCTGGTTAAGGGCAGAGGGCAAGGCAGAGCTGGCATGCCTCTCTCCACCTAACTCTTAGGTGGGCCACAAGGGAAGAAGCAAAGTACCAAGGAGAGCGGTCATACTTGTGAGGCGCTGCCTTGCCCCGCATCGGGCCCCAGAACACACACAAAACTGGTAGAAACGTGACAGACCGTCTCTGCCCCAGGCCCGGCATCCTCCTCATTCTGGAAGACAGGTTCTCAGCCCCAAACGAGCCTAAGAATTATCTGGGGAGCTTATTAAATGCCCATTCCTGGGCCACACGGCAAAACTACTGAATCAGAACCCCTGGAGTGGGTCCCAGGTGGTTCTGACGCAGCGGCTCCACACTTGGAGAAACTTAGAGCCGCTCACTCCATCCTGACACCTGTGGAGAGGCCCCTGGGAACCCAACTACACCAAGGTCCTCGACAGCGTGAGGCCTGGCCCAAAGCCAGGCCACCGCCTCACCCCGGCCCAGCCGCCGAGCGCTGCGCGGAGCCACCTCGGGGCTTCCACACGTCGGAGCCGGGCGGGAGAGGGACAGCGCGGCGGGCTGCCAAGGTCACCGCGGAGCTCGGCAGGGCTGCTCGGCCGCGGGACTCCTCCCGAGCACCAGCCGCCTCTCCCCCAACATCTCCCGAGGAAGAACGGCGGAGCTGGCATTTTTCCACAGCCTTCCCTATCCGAACGTGCGCAGGCGTGACGAGAGGGTCCGCGAGCAAGCGGGCCAGCCATTCCCAGGCGCGCAACCCCGCGACCGCCACGACGCCGAAGTCCCCAGCGCCGCGGGGGTCTCGGCAGCACCCGGGGCAGGAGCGGGCCCCGCCACGCCGCCCCAGGGCCCGCTTTACCTCGAGAGGCCCGGCGCCCGTGGCCGGCCGGACGCCCGCAGGACTAGCCCCTCGCCACCCGGGCTGGCGCGCACGCCCCCCGCGCAGGGGCCTCTGGGACCCGAGTGCGCCCCCGCGCGCCGGCGCCGGACTACACTGCCCGGCATGCACTGCGCCGGCCCGCGGAGGGGGCGGGGAGGGGGCCCCGCGGCCCGTGGTCACCCCGGCCCGAGGGGCTCGGGCGCCCAGTCCCTGCTCCCGGGGAGGGGGAGTCCCGCGGGAGGCCATCTCCGAATACACCGAGCCGACTCACCGTCCCGCGGCCCTGCGGCGGCGCCGGCCGCAGCAGGAGAAGGACCGGCCGCCTAGGCAGCTGGCTGTGGCGCTTCTGTCAGAAGGGGGCGGGGAGCTTCGGAGAAGTACGGAGACGCTCGGCGTCACGCGGGGGCGGGGCCTCTCGAGGCACGTGACGCGCCTTGGCGGCGTCAGTGGGAGTAGGGTCAGGGGCCGGGCTTTGTGCCCGAGGGCTGAGCACTCGGGAGGACCGGGGGCGCGTCGGGGTCAGCGGCTGAGGGTTTGGGCAGGGGCCCTGTGAGCGCTCGCTGGCGGCCCGCGCCGGCTGCGGGGCGTCGGGCGAAGGCAGGCGCGCGCGTCCGTTCTTTATTCCACCGCTGTTAGGTGGGTTTAGGCGCCGGACAGAAAGCTGCGAGCCTCACAGCCGGTCGCTGTCCCTGCGCTCAGGGCTTCCGTTGAGGCGACAGAGTACGAGTAAATCACGGAATGCCCAGGGTCGAGAGGGAAAGCGGCGGCATGCCCCAACAGAATCACGGGGTGGTGCCTCTCGTTGGGGAGGTTGGCAAAGGCCTCTCAAAGGAGGTGATGGTGAGGCGGGGGCAGGAAGGGGACGTCCCAGACAGGGGGGCGAAAAAGCAGGGGGGGATGTGGAGCGACAGGCTGGATGCGAATCCTCTCGGGCCTGGTAGGACTTGTGTGACGCGACTGGCGTTTTAAAGGACCTTCCTGACTACCGTGTGGAGCATGGTTCCAAGAGAGGCAATCAGGAAGCTGGGAGACCAGCACATAGTGATTTAAAAATTTCCAACTGACCACGTTTAAAAAAAAGCGTAAAAAAGGGACAGGTGAAATTAATTTTAGTACTATATTTAATTTACCCCAATATGTGCAAAATACTGTATCAACAATTAGTTAATATAAAAAGTTATCAATAATATATTTTACATCCCCCCCCACACACAAAGTCTTTGAAATCCAGTGTGTATTTTATACTTACAGCACATCTCAATGTGGACCAACTACAGTTCAAGGGCTCAGTGGCCAGCTGTGGCTTGTGGATGCCGTACTGGACAGAACAGATCTTAAAACGTTTATTCTTTTACTCATTCGACCAAGCAAGGTCTTGTTGTAGGCATGGAAATACACGAAATGGAATAAAGCCCAATCTCTGTTCTCAGAGTGTACACAGTCCAGCTAGAGAACTATTAATAATAGCTTATGCTGAAGATGTCAGAACAGTGCTTTGAGAGTTCAGGGGAGGGAGTACTTAAGGCAGGCTTCAGAGAGGAGAAGGACATCTAAGCTGGGACTTGGAGGATGTGTAGAAGTTCCCCAGGTGAAAGTGGGGAAGAGCACGCTACTACGCAGCAGAAGCTGCTTATGCAAAGTTGCAGAGAGTCTCTGGGGAAATACAAGTAGTAGTGGCTGGATGGTAGGATATGAAGTGGGAGGCGAGAGGGCAAGGAAAGATGAGGGTCTCATAGGCCAGTGTCTGCAATTTAGAATATATCCTGTTTGGTACATGATGGGGAACGTTGAGGCTTTTGAGCTGAGCGAAGTAACCGGATTCATGTTTTGGCCAAATTCTGGCAGTGTGGAGGGCATGGAAATTTGAGGCAGGAGGACCCATTGGGAAGGGAAGGGGCTCTAGGCTGGATCCAGAGGGAAGGCCCATGGAGACTAACACCGGAGTTAGAAAGGTTAGAGGGCAAAAGGCAGGCAAAAGGGTGGCTAAGAGTGTCCTATGCAGTAGAGGTCAATTAGGACAAGACAGGCAAGCCTTACCATGCCAGATGCTTGTGAAAATTCACTGACTCCCTGGAGTCCCCTGAGTAGTGTGGGAGTTGAGAGCCAGTGAGAGCCTAAAATTTAGTCAGTTGGAACTGGGTTGAAGTCTTCGGCCATACCACTGTATGGCCTTCTTTAAAATATTTAATTTTTCTAACTACAAAATGAGGATAAACATGATACCAGTTTTGTGGGGATGCAATAGTTTAATGCATTTAGGTCACTTCTCGTGGTGCCTGGCACACAGCCAGCACCCAATGCAAGTCGTTGCTTTTATTATCTGTTATGCTTTGAGTGCTCCGGCCTCGGTTCCCTCACCTACAGAAATGCAATTGTCATCTCCCACTGGCTGTTGGCAGGAATCAAGGAATAAATGAGATGGTTGAAGTGTATGTGCAAATTTAAAGGTCAATGTTGCTCGAAAGGTTGAACATAGGGTCACCACGTGACCTCACAGTTCTCCTTCATATGACCGAAAGAACCGAAAACATAAAGCCACACACAAAGGTACACACAAATGTTCACAGCATTTGTTTGCATTCATAGCATCAATGTTTATATTCCTATTAGCCAAAAAGTGGGAACAATAGACAAAGACTCTCTCCTTGGCCAAGCTTTAGTCAGCCTCCTCTGAATCTAAAGGCTGCAACCTTTGGACTTCTGTGTCTGTCTTTGGATCACCCAGTTTTAGCAAGAATCCTGTTAAGTTGGTTTAACCAGAATCCCTCCCACCCCCATATCTTATCAAATTCCTCATCCTGGGTCAGTTTGGCAAAAAATTACCCTACACTCCTGGTAATTTTCCATCTACGCACAGCACTGGTCTCCCACTCCTTGAGTATAAATCCCCGCTTTTCCTTCTTGTATTTGGAGTTGAGCCCGTTTCTATATTGAGATCTTTATTGCAATAGTCCTGAATAAAATCTGTTTTTACAGCTTTAACTACTGTCCTTTGACACAGTTGATGAATGGACAAACAGAAAATGGTCCATCCACGCAATGGAATATTACTATTCGGCCACAAAAAGGAATGAAGTGCCGACACATGCCACCGCATGGATGAACCTTGAAAACATGGTGCCAAGGAAGCCAGTCATAGAAGATCATATATTGTGTGATTCCATTTCCGTGAAATGTTCAGAATAGGCCCAGCCATAGAGAAAGAAAGTCACAAAATAGATGAGTGGGGTTGGGGGAGTTCAGGGAAATGGGGGGAAGTGGTAATCGACCCAGGTTTTCTTTTTAGGGTAATGAAAATGTTCTAAAATCGATTGTCATGATGCTGAACATACCTGGGTATTTACTAAAAGCCATTGAACTGCACATTTTAAACAGGTGAATTGTACAGTAAGCAGATTATACCTTAACAACGCTGTTACCAAAAGAGGGACAGGGGATGGGGCCACACTTAAAGCAACCCTGGAAGAATTCAGACACATAATCTAACAACAGAGTAAAGGCAAGCCTCTCTGTACAGAGATAGCATGATGTTATTATTCATGTTATTGGCTCTGGAATCCTTAGTGAGTGTATCTGAGATCAAGAGCCCAAAACCGTCCCAGGAGGTATCAATTTCGGGCTTGCAGTACAACTACTTGTCTCATCTGTTCCTGGGCAACCTTCGCTTTCTGCAGAACGGGTTTCCTTCCGTGTCACCAGCCTCCTCCCTGCCACCTGAGGCTCGCCTCTGAGCCTCACACCTGTCCCACAAAGCCTGCTACACTTTATTTTTAGTCCAGATTTCACTGTAACTGGGGCGGCCGGCGTGCCCTAGGCCCAGGACACTTTCAGTGACAGGCACCTTTGCACCTGGTGGCCCTGGCCACCAGAAGATCATTCTCGTGCTGCTGGACAAAAAAACAGCTGTTGACCTTCAACAGGGCCAGCCCACTGGTCTCCTGAGAACTTTTGCCCACTTGTTTGCCTCCCTGGTTGTGCAGAAATAGCCCAAAGGTGGGAAAAGCATGAGCTCTCCTCTCTTCTCTAGAAGCACTGCCATCTGCTGGCAACATGGCGGCACTACGACGTGGTGAAGTCCCCTCCCCACCTTTCATTCCCAAACTTGGAGTTTGCTTGACACGAGCCCCAGGGATTAGTGTTTATCCCTCTCAGTTTAGTTCTTTTAGGCCAGAGTTAAAATTAGACCTGAGCTATACATCGAGACTCCATAAAGAAAAGCGTGCATAAGTATTGAGTTGATGAATTTTCAAAAACCTCACACACAAGTGCAGCCAGGACCAGGTCAAAACAGAATGTGACCATCCCCCCAGCAGCCTCCTCATCCCCCTTCCACTCAGTGTCCCAACACCAGAAGGTCACCAGCCTGGCTCCTAAGAATAGATTCATTTTGCATGATTTTGTATGTTCTATTATAAGTTGGAGCCGGTTGGAGCACACAGTGTGTAATTTTTGTAATGCAAAAACCCAGGGCGTTGCCAATGCTGTTCTACCCATTGGCACAAAGACCAGTAGTCCTGAGGGTGTACCTTCCTCCTCCCACGTTCTCTGCTTCCTCCTAAACTCGCCTCCCACCGTCCAGCTGCTGCATCATTGGCTTGAGAGCCTCAAAGAAAATCATTCTAGGAGATGCAGCTAACATCACTGAGCACTCTGTGCTCTTCACACACACACCTGCCTCCATCCCAGCAAGGAACCTATAAACGTTTACCTCCGGCTCCTGATCCTGCAGGAGCAGTTAAAGGAGTGTGCTCAGAGTCACACAGCTGGCACCCAGCGCACCTCAGGTCTTGTGATTCTAGACTGATGTTGCTCCTCGCCACCAAAGCTGTACTCCAGGCGTGGGTGTGAGTCAGCACACACGGAAGCAAGAGAAGTCATTATACTCCGGCCCGTTCTTTGCAAAAATCTGTCTTTACACCCAGCATAGGACAGGGAAGGAGCCTGCTGGGGTGGGCCAGCAACCCAAGTGGGCCAGCAACCCACTTGGAATCCGCATTATTGGCCCTTTAGTCTGTTTGAATTGTTGCAGATGTCCAGGCCTTTGATGCAGAAAAGTGCTCACATGAGAGGTGCACAGCATGATGCATTTTCTCAGACTGACCACGCAGTGCACCCACTCCCCAGCAACTGGCCTCATGCTCCCTCCCAAGCAGGAGGTCACCCAAGGGCAACCACTCTCCTGACTTCCAGCACCAAAGATTAGTTTTTGTATTTTTTATAGCAATGGGTTCATTATACAGTATGAAGTCTTTTGTATATAGCTTCTTCTGCACACTTTTTTTTTCTTTTTTTTTTTTTTTGAGAAACCAGGTCTCACTTGGTCACCCAGGCTGGAGTGCAGTGGCCTCATCACAGCTCACTGCAGCCTCAAACTCCTGGGTTCAACCGATCCTCTCATCTCAGCCTCCCAAGTAGCTGGGACTACAGGCATGTGCCACCTCTTCTGCTCATTTTTTTTTCTATTTTTTGTAGAGACTGGGGTCTTACTCTTGCTCAGACTGTCTCTAATTCCTGGCCTCAAGCGATCCTCCTGCCTCAGCATCCCAGAGTACTAGGATTACAGGTGTGAGCCACCACACCTGTCCAGCCATCCAAATAGTTTTCTAAAGTGGTTCTGCCAATTTGCACTCCATCCGAGCATATGAGAGTTCTGCTGTTCATAGGCTTGCCAACACTTGGTACTGCCAGATCTGCAAATTTAAGTTCTAAGTGATTCTGAAACATGAATGATTAAAATGTGAATGTTTATAATATTTCTATCAATAGGGCTCGTGAGAATTGACAGCTTCTTTGGAGTTATCATCCATTTAGCAAACATTTACATTGAGCACCTACTATGTGCTGAGACCCCAAACAAGATTTTAAGCAGTGAACTTATCAGAAGCCATGGGAGCCAGAAGGCAGTGGGATGACATGTTCAATGCACTGAAGAAAAATAGGGTGACCCCTATATGGCAGTATTGGTGTTTGGGTTAAAGGAACTGTAAATTCAGTGTCTGTCCACAGTGGTTCCATGGAGACACTATTAGGGAGCATGCAGTGTAGCTGAAGATTGTCTTTGAGTTCTTTTGTGTCTGTTTATGTTATTTAACCTCCCCTATGTGCGTTGACTGAGGCAGCTCACCATCGTCATGGCCACAGGTGAACCACCAGCCTGCCTGTATTCATCTGGAGGTTTAACCAAAAAAGCAAATATTTCCCTTTGTGGCTCTTCCTAGGAAAAAGGCTCTTTGCAAAAGACTGTTTCATTCATTCCATCAACTACTGTTTATTGAGCACCTACTATTGTGCCTACTAGGAGCCAGGCCCCAGGGGAAGGGAGACACAGCTCCCAGGACAGTGGGGAGGAAGACACTGATCAAATTGCCATACAGGTGACCATTGCAAACATATGAAGGACAGACATGAGACGTGCTAAGACACTGGAGAAGGCAGTGTTTGTCTCAAGCCAGGAGGTGGGGAAGGCTTCACTTAGAAGGTGATGGGTGATCTGGGATCTGAAGGATGAGTGGGAGTCACCTTTTCCAGCCAAAGATGAAGAGAGTGAGTGTGTCAGCCTGGGAGACAGCATATGCAAAGGGCCCTGGCAGGAGGAACAAGGCAAGGACAAGGACTTGAAAATCATGGATTGGTCTTGTAGTATCCTGGATGAAGCTGGAGCCCATTCTACTAAGTGAAGTATCACAAGAATGGAAAAACAAGCACCACATGTACTCACCATCAAATGGGTGTTAATTGATCAACAATCAACTCTATGTGGGCATATAGTAGTAACATTCATTGGGTGTTGGGGCAGGTGGGAGGGGGAGGAGGGGATGGGTGCTGTGCCCACTGTCTAGGGGATGGACATGCTTGAAGCTCTGACTCAGGTGGGGCAAAGGCAATATATGTAACCTAAACATTTGTACCCCTGTAATATTCTGAAATTAAAAAAAGAAATATTACAGTTCAGTTTTATATATGAAAAGAAAAAAAAAAGAAATAAAATAAAGAAAATCAAGGATTGGATAATGGGTTAATATCTAGAATATATAAAGAATTCCTACAGCTCAATAACAACAAAACAGCCTGATTAAACACAATGGGCAAAGGACTTGAATAGACCTTTGTCCAAAGATACACAAACAGCACGTTAAAAGATAAGCACGTTAAAAGATGCTCACTAGTCACAAGGGAACTTCAAATTAAACCATCACAAGATACCATTTCACACCCATTAGGATGGCTATTACAAACAAAACAAAACAAAACAAAACAAAATAACCAGTGCTGGTGAGGATGTGGGGAAATTGGAACCCTTGTGCCTTGCTGGTGGGAATGTACAATGGTGCAGCCACTGTGGAAAACAGAGGTTCGTACAGCCGTCTTCATAGCAGCAATATTCACAATAGCCGAGTGGTAAAAACAACCCCAGTGTCCACGGACAGGTGAATGGATAAACAAAATGTGGTATATACATCCAATGGAACATTATTCTGATTTTGAAGTTAAGGAAGTTGTGACACAGCTACAACATGCTGAACCCTGAAGACATTATGCTAAGAGAAATAAGCTAGTCACAAAAGACAAACACTGTGTGACTCTCTTATCACAGTGAGGTCCCTAGTGCAATCAAATTCCTAGAGACAGGAAGTAGAACGGTGGCTGCCAGGGACTGGGGCAGGGGGAATGGGGAGTGAAGTGTTTAATGGGTGTGGAGCTAGTTTGGGAAGATGAAAAAAGTACTGGAGATGGATGGTGGAGACGGCTGCACAACAGTGTGAATGTGCTTGATTGTACACTTAGAAACAGGAGCAGAGACAGCCGCTGCAAGTTGAGGCCAGGAAGTGGGGGGATAGGGCCCAGCGTGCAGCCTGTAGACTTCCGGCCAGGCTCCCGAATGAGCACTTTGTGCCAGTCAGGCTCCAGGTTGTGAGCAACAGAAATTACTCTGGTCCCCCGAGCAGAAGAGCACTTGATTGGAAGGTTGTGGCAGCTCCCCGAATTATATCCCTGGCTGGGGAACCCGGCTCAGGTGTAAGCCAGGAAGCTGCCCCTGTCCAGCGACCCAGCCACTGCTGGCTGGACTCCTGACTCCACCGTAGTCGTCTTACAGACTCCCTTGGTGTTCCCCTTGCACTTCCGCCTTGGAGTGAGTTAAGGGCGGTTGGCCCCAGTTTGGAAAGCAGAGGCTCACGGGGGTTAAGTGTCTTGCCCAAGATGGTGAGTCGATGAGTCGCTCCAGTTCTGTACACCGACCCCCAGACCAAGGCTTCTCCCACAGCACCTACAGCTTCCAGCAGGTTAGTCTGGAGCCAGTTTGCATCTTAAGAGATTAAAAAATATATTGGTCCTGAAATTCAGAACCAGAAACAGCAGTTGCCTTGTTGATGTTTCACTCCCAACCACAAATGATTCTGCAGGGATCTGACTGGACTTTCTGCTTCTGAGTAGGGGGCCAGCAGCTGACACCTGCTGAGGGATCCCTGGACAAATAAAAAGAATGCCCAGGCCTGTACTCTCAGCACTCTGGGAGGCCGAGGCGGGAGGATCACTTGAGGTCAGGAGTTTGAGACCAGCCTGAGCAAGAGGGAGATCCTGTCTCTACAAAAAATAGAAAAATTAGCCAGGCATGGTGGCACATGCCTGTAGCCTCAGCTAGTAGGGAGGCTGAGGTAGGAGGACCACTAGAGTCCAGGAGTGTGAGGTTGCAATGAACTATGATGATGCCACTGCACTCTACTTGGGGCGAGAGAGTGGGACTCTGCTTAAAAAAAAAAAAAGAAGAAGAATGTCTAGTCACCAGGCAGCCCAAAGCAGCAAACATTCACTGTGAACTCTAATCCTTCTCCAGCAACCCAGGGGTTCCCTTGACAGTTCTTCCTGGAGTGAGAGAAGAAAGGTCATCTGATTATCATTCTTAGCTATTTATCCAGCATGAACACTGGCTTGTCTGGGCACAGTGGATGAATCTCACCTTAAGGAACTGATTGAATCCTTGACGTCAATTTATTTGGGAAAAGAAATAGTGCTTACAGTTCGTTTCCAATCATGCTAATTGGCTTCTGGCTCTAAGAAGCCATTCAAAGAATGTCCCAGTGATGAGTTTGTGCTGGAACTGTCTGAAATCGGGGCAGAGGTGAGCAGTGCCAAGTCACCGCTGCTGCCTGCTGACCCAAGGCAGGGTCTCTCCCTGTGGACAGCAAACTCTCCAGGAAGCCAAGAACACCCCCTGGAGTATTCCTCTTCTGCGCTAATAGCCAAGTGTTTTAAAATTTTTTTTACATACTTTATTATTTCCAGACTTAAAATGATAATGATTTTTAAAATTATAAATCCTTTCAAGTCTACTATATTGGCTGTGTTGGTTTTTTCTTTTTTTTTTTAATTTTCATCATAAATATTCATTTATCAGCATCCAATCACATGCAACAGATACAACTTTCCCAATTCTCGTCATTCTGTAATATGAAATGAATGAAAGCACGTAAATCAACACAGATTGGTGTTATACATGATCAATGTTTGCTAAATAAAGTATTATTTTTCTCTAGATGCATGGGAGTAAATTGAAAATTCCAGGCTGGGCGAAGTAGCTGTAATCCTAGCCTGAAATCCTAGCGCTCTGGGAGCCTGAGGTGGGAGGATCGCTCAAGGTCAGGAGTTTGAGACCAGCATGAGCAAGAGCGAGACTCCATCTCTACTAAAAAATAGAAATTAGCTGGACAACTAAAAATATATAGAAAAAATTAGCGGGGCATGGTGGCACATGCCTTTAGTCCCGGCTGCACAGGAGGCTGAGGCAGGAGGATCGCTTGAGCCAGGAGTTTGGGGTCGTTGTGATCTAGGCTGACACCACATAACCAAGGCTGACACATAACCAAGAAGGAAGCCACAGTGTCTTCCATAACTTATCAGAAGGGACATACCATCACTTCCACCATGTTCTTTTGGTCACATGGACCTGGTACAGTGTAGGAGGAGCCTACTTGAGCGTAGTACCTTAGGGCGCCATCGTAGAGGGGGCTACCACAGCAATCCTACCTCAATTAGCGTCCACCCCCACTCTCATCTTGTTCTGTTTTATTATAGGCATAACTACCATCACTACCTGAAGTTCATTTCTTTCTTTGTCGTAGTAAAATAAGGGCCTGTCTCCACCGCTAGCCCGTAAGCTCTGAGAGATCAGAGACCCATCAGACTTGCTCACTGTGGCCTCCTCCACACTCAAGGGCAGAACCTGAAACACAGCAGGTGCTCAATAACTATTAGTTAATAAATTAGTTAATAATATTAGTTAATAAATATTAGAAGGGCCAGGTGCGGTGGCTCACACCTATAGTCCTAGTACTTCAGGAGGCTGAGGAAGGAGGATTGCTTGAGGCCAGGAGTTTGAGACCAGCCTGGGCTACATAGTGAGACCCCACCTCTACAAAAATATTTAGAAAATTAGCCAGCCTGGTTGGTGTATGCCTGTAGTCCCAGCTACTCGGAAGGCTGAGATAGGAGGATCGCTGGAGCCTATGAGTTGGAGGCTGCAGTGAGCTACAATGGTGCCATTGGACTCCAGCCTGGTGACAGCCTGTCTCTATTAGAAGTATTTATTTATTTATTTATTTTCGTTGAAGAAGTGGGTCCAGGCACAGTGCGGGGTGTTGGGAAGCACATCGGCATCTCCATGGCTGGCTTGCAGCCCCAGCAGGAAGGCCTGGCTCTCACCTCTCTGCATGGTTGCAGCCTGGGCTGCCTTATAGCTTCACTTTCCTAAATCCCCAGGGAAACACACCCTGTGTGCCCAGGAGCTGCCAGCGCCAACTGTGACATTTCCCTGCCCGACACCTTCCTGCCCTCTGGCTGACCTGGTCCTTATGCCCGTGAACCGAGCTCCAGCAGCTCTGCACCTGGGGGCAGGTGACTCAACCTCTCTGAGCCTTGGTTGATTTGTCTATAAAATGAAGAGAACAACTGCACCTGCCTCATGGGCTAGTTGCAAGGATTCAATGTGCAGTAATGAGCGGAAAGCCTTTAGCCCTCAGTGAATGTGAATGAATCCTCGCAGGCTGCCCCAGGATGCAGGGAAAAAGCAGTGGCGGGTGACCCTGGAGGTCGTGCAGACTCAAAGCGGCCCATTTGCAGTATCCAGTTCCTTCTCGGTGTCCTCAGGCGGAGCGAGGGCAGATCCGTCTCTGCTGTACCAGATGGAGTTCTCGGGCGGCGTAAGCAACAAAAGCCAGTTCTGCAGAAAAGAAGTCTGCTGTAGGGACGTTGGGTGGCCCGGAGCCGCCATGGGGAGGCCTGGAGAATCAGGCCCGGCTTCCCAGCCAGCAGGCTGGTGCTGGCTCTGTCACCCAGGCTGCAGCTCAGTGGCATGGTCATTGCTTAGTGTTGTGGTTGAGACCCTGTTTGAGTTCAGACGTGAGTATGTCTTGACGCATCCTGGGGCAGAGTGACCTCGCCCAGTGGTGGTGTTCTGTGGAATTGTTCGTGCTCTACACCGAGGCCAGCTCTGAGCACACCTAGGCCGACGGTGCCAGGCCAGGCCCCGCCGTCAGGGGCTGCTTTTCTCATCCACTGCACTGGCTTTTAGCCAAGGGCGGGTGAAGTCAGCGCCCAGAGCACTCACCCATGACGTCCAGATCGTCACCAGTGCTGAAAGGTCGCTGGTCCAGAGGTTGCTCAGAGAGTGCGTCTGTGGCAGCACTGGGGTCCCTCTGCCACGCTCTTTTCTTTTTTTTTTTGAGACAGAGTCTCGCTTTGTTGCACAGGCTAGAGTGAGTGCCGTGGCGTCAGCCTCGCTCACAGCAACCACAAACTCCTGGGCTCAAGCAATCCTCCTGCCTCAGCCTCCTGAGTAGCTGGGACTACAGCCATGCGCCACCATGCCCGGCTAATTTTTTTTATATATATTTATTTTAGTTGGCCAATTAATTTCTTTCTATTTATAGTAGAGACGGGGTCTCGCTCTTGCTCAGGCTGGTTTTGAACTCCTGACCTCGAGCAATCCACCGCCTCTGCCTCCCAGAGTGTTAGGATTACAGGCGTGAGCCACCACGCCCGCCTTGCCACGCTCTTTCTGCTGCACACTGTGGCCTCTGCTGGGACAGTGGCTGCACTGGAGCATTAAGACCCTGGGAGAAGTCTGGGTGCGGTGGCTCGTGCCTGTAATCCTAGCACTCTGGGAGGCCAAGGAGGGCAGATTCTCCGAGGTCAGGATTCAAAACAGCCTGACAAGAGCGAGACCCATCTCTACTATAAAAATAAAGAAATAGTGCCAACTAATATATATAAAAATTAGCCGAGCATGGTAGTGCAATGCCTGTAGTCCCAGCTACTCGGGAGGCTGAGGCAGGAGGATTGCTTGAGCCAGGAGTTTGAGGTCTGCTGAGCATAGGCTGACGCAGGCACTCACTCTAGCCTGGGCAAGCAAGGAGATCTGTCCAAAAAAAAAAAAAAAAAAAAAAAAAAATTGCTGTCTGAGAATGTTGGCTAAAAAAAAGAACAAAGTAAAGTTTATTTAAATAATTTTTTTTTTAAAAAAGGAAAGAAATTAGCTGGACAACTAAAAATATATAGAAAAAATTAGCCAGGCATGGTGGCACATGCCTTTAGTCCCAGCTACTCGGGAGGCTGAGGCAGGAGGATTGCTTGAGCCCAGGAGTTTGAGGTTGCTGTGAGCTAGGCTGACGCCACAGCACTCTAGCCCGGGCAACAGAGTGAGACTCTGTCTCAAAAAAAAAAAAATACAGGCCGGGCGCGGTGGCTCACGGCTGTAATCCTAGCACTCTGGGAGGCCGAGGCGGGCGGATTGCTCAAGGTCAGGAATTCGAAACCACCCTGACCAAGAGCGAGACCCCGTCTCTTACTATAATAGAACAAATTAATTGGCCAACTAATATATATAGAAAAAATTACGGGCAGGTGGTGCATGCTGTAGTCCCAGCTACTCGGGAGGCTGAGGCAGGAGGATTGCTTGAGCCCAGGAGTTTGAGGTTGCTGTGAGCTAGGCTGACGCCATGACACTCACTCTAGCCTGGGCAACAAAGCGAGATTCTGTCTCAAAAAAAAATAAATATATAAAAAAAAAAAAATACAAAAAGACCCTGGGAGAGCACACGAGCCTCCTGCCACACAGGTGGTCATCAGAAATAAAACTGGTTCTTGGTTCTGACACTCAGTGCTGAAGCCAGAGGCCTAGCGTGCCAACCCCACGCCATGAAAACATGCTCCAAAGTCCAGCTGGACTTTCTTTCTCTACAAAGCCAGAAGCCCTTTTTTTTTTTCTTAAGCCTAGTCATGGACTGTTCTACTTGACCCCTAGTGTTTACATGGTATTAATAGCTGCACAGGTGCAGCAAGAAGTGTTTGCTCTGGGGTAAATTCCCTCTCGGGCAGCCAAGAAGACATTCATGATCACCCACGAGGTCTCAGTGAGCGAATTTACATCTAGCCTGGCTTGTTGGGCTTCTGGAGCAGAGTGTGTTCCTCAGGACGTCTGCTGGGGTCAGAGACGAGTTTTAGACCACCTTTGCCAAACACGCCATCCCCACGGTGGGACTCGCGGCTGGCACAGTGCACAAAAAGAAGGCGTCAGTGGGTGAGCCCCGGGGAGCCTGTGCATACCTCGTTTCAGAGGTTTCTCGGTGTTTTTTTTCAGGAAAACATGATCCACTGGTGGAGTGGTCATTTCAAACATCTGCAAGTCTGTTGCTGTCACTCCGTACCCAGGATAGCATGTTGGTGGCAGGAGGTATAAGCCTGATTTGTGTCCACCTGCAAAGTCTCCAACACCTACTAGGGTGGCTGTAACCAAAAATACAGACAATAACAAGTGTTTACGGGATGTCGAGAAACCGGAGCCCTTGCCCACTGCTGGTGGGAATGTACAATGGACAGGCCCTGCAGCACTGGCCTGGCACTTGACATATACTATTTCTACCCCTGCCCCTCCATTTTATTTCCCCATTTAGCAGGGAGAGAAGCTGAGGCCCAGAGAGGCTGAGTCACTTGCTCAAGGTCACACGGCTGGTGAGAAGGATTTGCATCTCCACCTGCATAAATCCAAAGCAGACAGGCTTTCCACTGTCCAGGTGTCGTCTCCTTTCCAGGTCTTCTGTGGGGAAGCCAGGTGAGATTGGCCCTCAGCCAGGGGCACGTGGCCCCAGCTCAGGGGGGGAGCACAGCAGGGTTCAGTGAGGCTGTCATCACTAGGCGGGCAGGACATGGGGGGACTCAGGACAGACTGTGCCCTTTCACCACCTGACTCTCCCCTCCGGGAGCTGGAGCACCAGGGCGTGGGGGTGGGACACTGGGCCATGCCCAGACGTGAGCTTAGTTCTTCAGATTCTCTTTTTATTTTTTTTTCGAGACAGAGTCTCACTCTGTTGCCCAGGCTAGAGTGAGTGTCGTGGCGTCAGCCTAGCTCACAGCAACCTCAAACTCCTGGGCTCAAGCGATCCTCCTGCCTCAGCCTCCCGAGTAGCTGGGACTACAGGCATGTGCCACCATGCCCAGCTAATTTTTTCTATATATTTTTAGTTGGCCAATTAATTTCTTTCTATTTTTTAGTAGAGACGGAGTCTGACTCTTGCTCAGGCTGGTTTCGAACTCCTGACTTTGAGCAATCCTCCCGCCTCGGCCTCCCAGAGTGCTAGGTTTACAGGCGTGAGCCAACGCGCCTGGCCAGTTCTTCAGATTCTTTTCCCTACATGCTCTTTTCTCTAAACCTCTGTCTTCCTAATGCCAAGAAATCTGTCGTCTGTCCAGATTCCAGAGACTTCCAAGGAGGGGCTGCCTCTCCATCACTCACCTGGGCACTTCTAGGAAAGGGTCATTGGTCTTACACAGCCAAAGGGCTTGAATGAAAAGGCTGCCTGTTCCCTATTCAAACGTTCATCAAATATTAATCGAGCACCTTCTCTGGGCGAGGCGCGCCCCAGAGCACCCGCCCCGCGCCAGGCTCTCAGAAGCATGCCCGCTCGGCCACGTTCTCTGGCGTCCTAGCAACCAGGAACTATGATCTGAGCTCCGGCCAGGACAGAGGCCATTCTTCCCTGACCATTGTGACTCGCTGCCTCCCCGAGCCTCTGAGGACCGGCCCCTGTACTTTGGGGGGCCACGGAAGCTCCCGCTTGTCCCCAGGCTGCACCGACCCAGCCGAGGGCAGGATGAGCTTCTCGCTCACATTCAAGGAGCTGGTCAACATCGCCATCCCGCAGTGCGGGGTGGTCAACTTCAAGGCGCTGCACCTGCTGCTGCAGGGCATGCTGGAGCACATCCACATGGACGGCCTCAAGAAGGTCCTCTCGGGGGACGAGGACTTCCTCCAGACCTCGCCGGCCATGACGGTGCCCAGGGAGGGGGACGCCCAGCCCATCCTCACCCCCATGAAGAGGCTCAGCAATGTCTTTGACCACGTGGTGAGCCGCGTGGACAGGATAGAGAACCAGCTGGCCATGCTGCAGGAACTGCCCACCACCTCCCAGCTGCTGGAGGCCAGCCAGGGGACCGGCCGGCCCGCCCAGGACCTGTGGAACCTCATCAAGGTCCGGAAGATGGTGGAGGGCGTTGAGGAAGCCACGGCAAAGGTAACTGCAGCTCCAGGCCTGCTCTGCCCCTCTGCCCTGCCCCCGTGCAGCCTGTCTCCTCTTCCCTGGGAGGGGCCTTCCCCTTACAGCGGGGCAGGAATGGGGCTTTAGGGTCAGGCAGACCCAATACTCCAGGCTTGCCACTTTCATCCAGTATTTTTTTTTTTTTGAGACAGAATCTTGCTCTGTCACCCCAGCTAGAGTGCTGTGGCATCATCGGAGCTCACTATGGCCTCAAACTCCTGGGCTCAAGCGATCCTCCTGCCTCAGCCTCCTGAGTAGCTGGGACTACAGGTGCACACCATTGCACCTGACTAATTTTTCTATTTTTAGTAGAGATGGGGTCTTGCTACATTGCTCAGGCTGGTGTTGAACTACTGGTCTCAAGCGATTCTCCTGCCTCAGCCTCCCACAGTGCTAGGGTTACAGGCATGAGCCACCACATACATCCAGGCAATCTCCCTCTTCTCTGACGCCGCCTCTATCTTTGCATCTTCTCTCTCTGACTCTGACCCGCTCACCCCACTCCTAAAAGGGTGCGTGTGATTACAGATCATTTCCCCACCACAACAGCCTAAATTCAATCACATCTGCAAAGTCCCCTTTGCCATAGAGGGCAACACAGTCACAGGTTCCAGGGTTTAGGAGGTGGACATCTTTGTGATGAGGCCTTTAGATGTCCTTGCCCCAAGCACCTGGTTTGGCAGGGGGTAAATCCCCGCACCCCTGCTGAAACACGCAGAGCGAAGATGGAGGCTGGGCAGAGAAGAAGGGGTGAGACTTGCCAGGTGCTTGGGGCTGGGGCCAGCCGGTCTGCGCTGAGACTGCCACCAGGTTGGGGGCTGGGTCCTGGCGGGGAGACTGCTCCCCAGGTCCCCACCACCATCCGGATAGCCCAGGGTCCAAGGGAGGAAGGGAGGGAGGGTCCCTGGGGGGCAGTTCCCAAGCCTTACCTCTGCTCTCTGCCTCAGTGGGTGCCCGACCACGCCTTTGCTGCTTACAAAGCCCCAGACCAGACAGGGTGGAAGCTGTCACCCACCCGGGCCAGCTCCTGTGGAAGGTGCCTGCTCATTCGCTTGTGTGCTTGAAATCGCTTCCTTCAGCACAAGCGGGAGGTTCATGCTGCAGGGCTTGTAAAAACACCTTTCTACGAAGCGTGTTCAGAACACACAGAAACCGTGCAGCTCTGTGAGTTCCCACAGTGCCCAGCTGTGTGCCCGGCGAGCAGCTCTGGAAAAGCCCCCCCCCCCAGCTTCCCGATGCTCCTCCCAGGCTCCACCTTGGCAGGAATGTAGAAACCAGAATGAGACACAGCCCTGCTCCCAGGGAGACTGAAGTCTGGAGGGGTCTGGGTTGAGCTGCTGAAAAAAAAAATGTGATTCTGGCCGTGACACTGCCATGTCCTGAGCACATGGCTTTGCCTGTCCAAGCTTCAGCCTCCCCCTCTGCCAAATGGGCACACATTCCACTCCGGTGGCCCCGAGGATTAGACGAGAGGCTGTGGGTGGAGAATGCGCTCTGCAGGCGCGAAGCACCCGGCCCCCAGAACTCCGCGCCCCCCCCCCGCCCTGTCTTCTTACCTCCAGCCAGACATCTGCCCGTGTCCACCCTGTGCCTCTGGTTCATCTTAGTGTGGCTGGGAGGCGGGTGGTGACAGGCCACCAAGCTCGGCGTCCATCCAGCCTGTGCCTGCCCTCCTGTCCCTGGAGGCAGGTGGCGTGTCCTAGATCCTCCTTGAGCCAGACTGTGTCCCCCGGGGCATCTAGCTGGATCCCCCCCGGGAGTCAGGGTCATTTGGAAAAGCTGGTCTCTGCCCGGGCTTCCTGCCCCCATCTCTTCACTGTCCCCACCTGCACTCCCTCCCTCCGCCCCTGCACCCGGCACTCCCTCGTTTGCAGATGAGGAAACGGAGGCGCCGGGAGGTTAAGTAACCCACTCAAGGTCACGGTGCCAGAAACGGCACAGTGGACAGTGACTGGCTGGGTCTGGGTGGCGGGTGTCCCGGCCACTTACCTCCTGGAGCGGGAGGCACGATAGTGGTTGAGGATGGCTGCCTCCTCCTGGGATTGCTGGATTAAAACCACGTGAGACAACGCGTGGGGTGCGCTTAGCGCAGAGCTCGGCACGCTCGAGGTGCCCGATCTGGGGTCACGGTGACTACTATTCAGAAATCTGACCTGAGCAGGGAAACCGGGGTGGGTTGTGATCTCGGCAATGGCAGGCGTCCCCAAGAGCCCTGCAGGGACACGGGGGACAGAGCTCAGGGTCTGTGGGGAGAGGAGGAGCCCGTCCGGCCGCTGCGGGGCGAGAGAGGCGAAGCAGCAGCACGGACGAGCCTTAGTCACCGTGCTACGTGGGAGAAGGCAGATGGGAAGGCCACGTGTTGCACGATTCCATTTACACGAAACGTCCAGAATAGTCAGCTCTACGCAGAGACAGAAAGTGGCTCAGTGGTTTCCAGGGGTTCGGGCAGAGGGGAGTGGGACGTAACTGCTGATGGGGAGGGGTTTCCCTTTAGGGGATGAAATGTCTTGGAACTAGACAGTGACATATAAGCTAAGGGCCTTGGAATTGTGCACATTAATATTGTTATGTGTATTTTACCACCAAAAAACCAGAAATTGGCAGTTAGTTTAAGAAAAAAAAAAAAGCCATAGCTGGGCGTGGTGACTCACACCTGTAGTCCCAGCTACTCAGGAGTCTGAGGCAGGAGAATCGCTTAAGTTCGGGAGCTAGAGGCTGCAGTGAGCTATGATGATGCCACTGCACTCTAGCCCAGGGGACAGAGCAAGACCCTGTCTAAAAAACAAAACAAAACAAAACAAAACAAAAAACCAACCACCAAGTAAAAAACACACACCCCAAACCCCAAACATGATCTGATTACTATATGCTGCCTACAAGAGACGCACTTTAGACTCAAAGATACAAGTAGGTTGAAAGTGAAAGGATATCCATGTATCAGGGGATGAATATTAAAGAGAAGAAGAAGAAAAACAGAAAGTAAAAGGATAGAAAAAGATATTCCATGCAAGCAGTAACCAGAAGAGACTGGAGTCTGTATCAGACGAGACAAAATCGTTACTGGAGACCAGGCTGCCGGGGTAGCCGAAGGCAGGTCACACCTAGAGGGCCTTGCAGGCAGCGCAGGTGGACGGCAGTGTCCAGGGTGCCTGCTCTGCAGGGGCGGCCTGCCCCCGGCCTGCCCGCGGCCTGCCCGTGGCCTGCCCCTGGCCTGCCGTGCCGGTGGCTGGGAGAATGCACCAGGGCTCCGAGCAGCTCAGCAGGGAACCCGCCCAGCTCACAAAAGGGGCGAAAGGGGCTCAGGGACAGGTTTGGACCTGGCTGTGCCTCTCAGCCCTCTGAGGGCTGTTTGTGCTGCTGAGGAATGTCCCCTCCGCTAAGAGAATGTTGCTTTGTCCTGGCCTGACTGAAGTTGCCCACGGTTACCACAATGACCGATTGAAGCGTTGCCATGGTTTGAGAGTGGTGCAGGCTGCTTAGCCAACTGTCTGCACCCACCCACCAGCCAGGCTGGCGGCCCACACACTGTGTCTTTGCCGGGGTTGCCTGGCGAACATGTGTTTCAGAACACTGTGGCCCGGAGTCCCTGTGTGCCTCGCTCAGGCCTTGGCTTTTCTCATCTGCAATGACGGCCGCTTGCAGCTGGCATCACAGGAGAGAACGAGGGATGATGTCAGCTGTTGGTTTTTAGGACGGTTCCGGCCAACCCTGTTTCTATAAAGTGGGCCAGTACGTCCCAGTCTTAGGGGATTGTAACAACCCATTGTTGCTTTTTTGATTTCAAAACTCTCTCCTCAATCTACTCCCCCAACAGCATCAAAACACCTGCTGTGTATTGCACAAGTTAAAATGGCTTTGCATTTAAATTGGGTTCTGGGTATTTCATAACATCGCTTAAAGGTGTCGAAGACACGTTGGGGCCCCGGGGTATCAAGGTTGAAGCTCCTGCAATAATAGTAATGAATGACCTTGGAATCGCCCCTTGCAGAGCGCTGCAAAGCACTTTCCCATTCCTCGTTTCCGTGGCAGGGAAGGGCTGTTAGCGTTCCCATTTTCCAAAGCTCCCAGGATGGCTGTGTGACCAATCCAGCTGATTGTCTCTGGGGGGTGTTTGCTTTAGGCCCCCTTAAGGCCTTTGTGAGCGCTGGGGTGCAGCCCAAGCCTGCGTGTTCGTGAAGCACTCTTGAGAGAGAGACACACACAGAGAGCGAGAGCAAGTCTGGACAAGCCCAGCTCCCCGAGCCTGCACAGGGCTGCTATACCAGCCGCCCCCAACATTTTTGGCACCAGGGACCAGTTTCATGGAAGACGATTTTTACACGGGCGGTGGGGGAGGGAGAGGATTGGATTCCCTCCCTGCGCAGTTTACAGTAGGGTTCACACGCGCATAGGAGAACCTAATGATCTGACAGGAGGCAGAGCTTGTGCGGTGATTCGAGCTACGGGGAGCAGCTGATGTCTAATCCCATTGTGGTCAGAGCACATATTTTGCATAATTTCAGTCCCTTTAAGATGTACTGGGGCCTGTTTTATAGCCTCCCCCCAACAAGTCTTCCTACCCCACTGGGAGGAGGGCTCCTGTGCGTTTGAGAACCAGTGTGTGTCTGCCAACTGTTTCTTTTTTTTTTCCCAGACCAGAGTTCCTCACCCTGCGTTTGGGCCCAGGCTAGAGTGACGTGGCGTGGCAATCCACCGCTAGCAAAGCTCACAGCAACCTCCAACTCCGGGGTCAAGCAAATCCTCCTGCCTCAGCCTCCCCGAGTAGCGGGACTACAGGCATGCACTCACCGTTGCGCCGCTATTTTTTCTCTATATATTAGTTGGCCAATTAATCTTTCTATTTATGTAGAGACGGGGTCTCCGCATCTTCCTCCAGGCCTGTTTCAACTCCTTGACATCCCCCGAGCAAATCCCTCCCGCTCGGCTCCGCCCAAGAGTGTAGGATTACAGGCATGAGCCACGCGCCCGGCCTCCCCGTGCACTGTTTTACCGTAGCGAGCGTTCCTAAGAGATATGTGTCAAGTCTAGCTGGCTTACAGGGTTGTCCAAGCCTCTGCTTCCCTGCTGATCTCTTGTCTAGTTATTCTATTGTATGGAAAGGCCTGGAGCTCCCCAAACGATTCTTGTTGAATTGTCCATGTTTTCCCCTTTTCGCTCTCCAGTTTCCTTCCCCGTGTATGTTTGGGCTCCAACCCTGATAGTGCACCAATGGTATAATGTATATCTCCACGCGTAACGGACCCCTCCTGAGTGGACAAAAACAACTCGGTTTCTCCCCTACACTGCTGCCACTGGACGTGTGGATTCTCCACTATCCCGGCTGGCGAGCCATGGATCCCTCGTGGCCATCCAGGCTGGCGTCCCCCAGGCCAACCCCGTGTCAAGTCAGTCCCTGACCACTACCCGAGTGGGCAATGGGCGTGTCTTCACCAGGCCACGTAGAACCAACACCATGCGCGGCTCCGAACTGGCCGAGGAGACGAGGCATGCTCCAATCCCGTCTGGCCCCGATTGGGATTTGGCAGCCAGTTTCCCTGGGTTTGGTGGACAGGTTGGTGGCATGCACGATCACAGGCTGGGCAGGGGCTCGCTTTTACCTTAGAAGAATTCAGTCAAGACCCAATTACGGTAAGAGCATGGAAAGCGGATCTTACATGGAGACCATTTCTAGACAACGACGCCTTACCGTGTTCAGTTTCTGGTCACATCTCCCATCTGTTGGTCCCCCATCCAGGGCAGGGTGGGGGTGGGTGGATGCGTGAGATTTTTATTTCCGGTTTAATTCAGTTGAACGTCCTTCTCCCCTACGCGTGCTCCAGCCCGCATGACTTGCCCTTCCCCTTGCTCTGAGTGTCTGTAAAATACTTGTCGTCTGTTATCAGCCATGACAAGGCTGAATTAGAACTGCGGTCGCAGGTCACACTTTCTACCTGGGATATGTGTCAGATCGCACAACAGATTTAGGACTCAGTCCCACAGACCTGTATGTGCTTACTTGTCTGATGCCAAATCTCCCAAGGCCCAGGTTATTTTGCCTGTGTTTACGAACGGGGCTCCAGGCCTATAAATTGACCCCTCCTGGGTTCACCTGAGGCAGAAGTGGCCCACAAAAAAACCCAAAAGGGAGAATTGCGAACCTTAGCCATTTAAATGGTTTCATTACAAAGGATACTTTTACGCCGGCGGCGCCGGTGGCTCAATGCCTGTAATATAAGCCTCTGTGAAGCGAGGCAGGAGGATTGCTTGAGCTCCAGGAAGTTCGAGACCAGCCCTGAGGCCAAGAGGGAAAACCGTCCTCGTACTCAAAAAAATAGAAAAATTACTGGACAACTAAATAATTATATAAAATTACGCCCAGGCAATGGGTCCACCCCCACCCCCCTGTAGTCCAACCTCCCAAGCCTTCTTGGGACGCTGGAGCAGGATGATCGTTGAGGCCAAGGAAGTTGAGGTTGCCGTGAGCTAGGCTGACGCCCCACAGCACCTCTATTGCCCAGGCAACAGAGTAAGTACGCTCGTCCTCAAAAAAAAAAAAAAAAAAAAAAAAAAGTAATAAAACAAATGGTACAAACAGCCAGATGAAAAGATTGAGGGGATGAGGTCTGGAAGGGTCCCAAGCAGACAGGAGCTTCTGTCCCCATGGAGTGGGAGTATGCCACTCAGCCAGCACGTGGACATGTTCTTGTTCGCCTTCCTGGAAGCCCTCTTGTGCTCAGCTATTCACAAGCTTATCCAGACTTTACTCTTTGAGGCTTTTATGGAGGCTGCATTATGTAGGCACCACTGATTAAATCATTGGCCATTGGTGATCAATTTAACATTCAGCCCCTCTTCCCTCCCCAGAGGATGGGGGTGGGCTGAAACATCTTAGCCCTCTAATGATGCCTTTGTCTTTCCTGTGACCAGCCCCATCCTGAAGCTACTATCTATGGGCAGCCAGCCATAGGTCAACTCACTAGCAACAAAAAGACTCTTACCACTTCAGAATTCCAAGGATTTTAGGAATTGTATCTCAGAAAGTTTCTATTAAAAAATAATAAATAGGCCGGGCGAGGTGACTCACGCCTGTAATCCTAGCACTCTAGGGAGGCCGAGGCGGGAGGATCATTTGAGCTCAGGAGTTCGAGACCAGCCTGAGCAAAAGGCAGACCCCATCTCTACTAAAAATAGAAAGAAATTAATTGGCCAACTAAAAAAATATACAAAAAATTAGCTGGGCATGGTGGCGCATGCCTGTAGTCCCAGCTACTCGGGAGTCTGAGGCAGGAAGATTGCTTGAACCCAGGATTTGAGGTTGCTGTGAGCTAGGCTGATGCCACGGTACTCTAGCCCAAGCAAGAGTGAGACTCTGTCTCAAAAATAAATAAATAAATAAATAAATAAATAAATAAAATATATCTCTCATAAACAGCATGTACTTGGATCATGATTTCTTATTCATTCTGCCCATCTCTGCCTTTTAACTGAAAGTTTAATACATTTACATTTAATGTAATTATTTTTAAAAATTATTTTATAATGGAGATGGGGTCTTGCTATGTTGCCCAGGCCGGTTTCAGACTTCTGGCCTCAAGCAATCCTCCTGCCTCAGCCTCCCGAGTAGCTGGGACTACAGGCATGCGCCACCATGCCCGGCTCATTTTTCCTATATATATTAGTTGGCCAATTAATTTCTTTTTATTTATAGTAGAGACGGGGTCTCGCTCTTGCTCAGGCTGGTTTCGAACTCCTGACCTTGAGAGGCAGGAGGATCGCTTGAGCCCAAGAGTTTGAGGTTGCTGTGAGCTAGGCTGACGCCACAGCACTCTAGCCCAGGCAACAGAGTAAGACGCACTGTCTCAAAAAGAGGAGACGGGAGGCAATGCTCAAATCCGTCTGGCCGATTGGGATTTGCAGCCAGTTTTCTGGGTTAGGGTGGACAGGTTGGTGGCATGCATAACAGCTGGCAGGGCCGCTTTTACCTGAGAAGACTTCAGTCAAGACAATTTACGGTAAGGCATGGAAAGGGATCTTATCATGAGACATTTCTAGACAACTGACCCTTACCAGTGTTCAGGTTCTGGTCACATCTCCATCTGTTGGTCCCATCAGGGGCAGGGTGGGGGTGGGGGTGGGGGTGGGCGGTGAGACTTTAGTTTCCGGTGTTATTCGAGGTTGAAGTCTTCTCTGCGCGTGCTCCAGCCGCATGACTTGCGCCTTCTTGGCTCTGTGTCTGTAAAATAACTTGTCGTCCTGTTATCAGCAGGACAGGGCTGATTAGAACTGGTCTGGCAGGTCACACTGTCTACCTGGAGATAGTGTCAGATCGCACAGATTTAGGACTCAGTCCCACAAGACCGAGTGCTACTTCTGATGCCAATCTCAAGGCCCAGGTTATTTTGCCTGTGTTTACGACGACGACGGCTCAGCTATAAATTGAGCCCCCTCCCTGGGTTCACTGAGGCAGAGTGGCCCACAGAACTCAGGGAAATGCTAACTTACATTTAATGGTTTATTACAAAGGATATTTTAGGCCGGGCGCTGGGGCTCATGCCTGTAATACTAGCACTCTGGGAGGCCGAGGCGGGAGGATTGCTTGAGCTCAGGAGTTCGAGACCAGCCTGAGCAAGAGGGAGAACCCGTCTCTACTAAAAAAATAGGAAGAAATTAGCTGGACAACTAAATATATATATAAAATTAGCCAGGCATGGGGGTGCACACCTGTAGTCCCAACCTCCCAGCTTCTTGGGAGGCTGAGGCAGGAGGATCGCTTGAGCCCAAGAGTTTGAGGTTGCCGTGAGCTAGGCTGACGCCACAGCACTCTAGCCCAGGCAACAGAGTAAGACGCTGTCTCAAAAAAAAAAAAAAAAAGTAATAAAACAAATGGTACAAAAGGCCAGATGAAAAGATTGAGGGATGAGGTCTGGAAGGGTCCCAAGCAGACAGGAGCTTCTGTCCCGCCATTGGAG